AGAAATTAAGTCAATGATAACTAAAGTTTGTAAAGACAATTATTAACAAAAATTAAAAGAGGAGGGATTGAAAGGAATGATGAGCTTGTCTTTACAAACAAGCTGTGGGTCAGTTGATAAGATGTAGCTATCAGTGAGAGACGACAGAAACAATGGGATGGATTCCAGTAGAAGATCAAAGAGGCACTGAAAGAACACTATGAATTCCATAAAAGTTAAGAAGGGATTATGCATTGGGGGTGGGGGGGAAGGTACCCCAGGTGTCAGGCGTTCCGGGAAGCCTGTACCTCTCAAGTACCTCAGCCTATGGGGAAAGAGAGAAGGGACAAGCGGCCGGGAATTAGGATAAAAAGGAGGCTGCACCCTCCAAAAATTTGATAGACCCCAGGGGAATGCCCCATGGCCTCTCCCTTTATTCGAATAAAGAAAAAGGACTCCTCTGTCTCCTTTTTGGACATAAACCTCTGGTGTTCGTGGATTAATTTTCCTGACAGTTCCAAGGCCTGGCAGAGCTGCAGTCCCTGACCCCTCTCTGCTCCCTGCTGGCCCCTCCATCCCCTCAGCTCCACCGTCCTCTGGACAAAGCCCCAGCCCCCCCTTCAGTTTCTTTGGCCTCTCACAGGCCTCTCATCCCACTCAGTCCCTCAGAGCTGGCACCCCCTCAGCCCGTGCCACTTCCTGTCACCTCAGTGCCACCATTGCCCTCTGCTCCCCCACAGCCCTCAGTGCCCCCAGCAGCTCAAGGTCACCGTCCCTTCAGCGTCACTGCCTCCTCGGCCCCCTCAATCTCACCGTCCCTCAGCAGCTCCTCAGGGGACAGTGCCTGGGGCCACCGGCAGCTCCCACCGCTCCAGGGACAGCCGGGGCTGGAACTGCTGCTCCACCCTGCCCCTGCCCCAGCTCGGACCCAGCAGGACAGGGGGACAGAAGGGGCACAGTGGGAAAAACGAGATGAAAAAGGCAGCCAAGGGGGGAAAGAGGTTAAAATGCAGCCTAGGCCTACACAGCTCAATCTATGTACCTAAACATCCATATAGCTCTAACTATATAACTATGCACATTTATAAATACAACTGTGTGTTCATATGAATGTTACTCTCTACATATATAAATGCAAATCTGAAAATCTATAAATGTAACTACATACATAGAAATAAAATTCTATCACATCCATAACTTATCAGATGTATAAATAGATACACATATAAATACAACTCTATCAATCTATACTTGTAACTATATGGATAAATAAATAAAGATAAAAAATCTCTAAATATATCTATAAACAGAGGGATGTCACCTGCCCAATGGTCACAGGCTCTCCCTCTGATCCTTCTTCCCACGCAGGGCAGCCCTTCTGGCAAGGCAGATCACACGGATATCTGGGAAGGAAAGGCAACTCTGAGTCAATGCTGGCCTCCGTGTATCTTTCCTTTTGGAAGTAAACTGTCCTGCTAGCAAAGGCTGTAAAAGATGGCCTGAAAGGCACACTCTCACTTGAAAATTTGAAGCCTGCTCTTTAGCAGTTAGAGAAGCCTGTTCTCTAACAGGGATCATTCCAAGTTTTCCAGTCTGAAGTTTTTCAATAGCACAACCTGATTTACTGGGAAGACAGTCTGAAACACCTGCAATATCCTATCAGGGTCTCAGATTGGTTTCATTCCAACAAACAAGGGAGTTCACCTAACACTAACCACTTGTCAGGCAATATTTTTCACTTTGCCCTTTCATCTCAGCAGACAGGCTGCCTGGAAAATGGCCAGAACAGCCTCCAAACCTGCAGGAAGGACAGGAAAAGCAGACAGAGAATCTTTCTGTTTTTAACGTCCCTTTTCCTAAGCAACTGGACACTTTCTACCTGATTCTCACTTGAGATCTACCCATGAGAGAGCATTGTTGGAAAACAGTGCAAAGGGTCACTCTCCAAGTCCTCTTTGAAAAGAAAGTGTAGATGCTCTTTCCCTACCTGATGGGTCGTAGACTGGTGAGTGCTGCTTTGAAGATGGGCAGCTGCTGCGTTCTGGAGAGGCCATGGAAATACTCTGATGGTCTGTGGGAATGAGTGGAACTGTTAGATCAGGATGACATTTAAGGTCCATGCGAACCAGCAGAATGATGACCTCACGCTTGAGTTGAAATTTGCATGTGCCTGGTTCCTCTGATAAAACCCCAGGAAGTCCAGATGTGGCAAACGCTTTCTTGGGAGATCGTAAGAAAACCTCAGACTCCTGAGTACCTGCACTTCGCCTGGAAGGGTCTGGACACTTCCAGCTCTGAACTCTGAATCCTCACGTGAAACAGCAGCAGCGAGGTCCCAGTACAAGAGTGCTGTGCAGCAGTAAGGGAAGAAAAAAGAAAGCAAAGTGAAGGCTCGGTCACTATTGGTCCTCAGGTATGTTTTCCTTGGCACAACTGTACTTCTGTCAGGGAATGTTGCTATCCTGCTCCCCGATGGGACCCCTCTGTCCCACCCCCCGTGGAGCCTGCTCGTCTCTGGGCACAGGCGGCGGAGGGGGTCCTGGAGTGGATACAACACGGACTCAAAGTATCTAGACACAGGAGGCTCAAACTTGCTGGAATAATCCCGGGTTTATTGTCTGTCGTCCATCCGGGGCAAGAGAGAGAGCGAAATGCTCTGGGTCTTATCTCTTATACCAGGGGGCAGGGGTGATTAGGGGATGCAGGGAGGTCACAGCCAATGGGAAGGGGTGGGGGAGGGAAAGAAGGTTTTCAGGTAGGAGCTAACATTACACAAACCAAAGGTGAGTTTTACCCTTGGGAGGTACCAAGATTTCTAGATGCACTACAACACCTCACCCTTTTCTGTTATACAAAAATGAGAAACATGGATTTGAGTAAGAGGTAGGTTATTTCAAAAAAGGAAACAGAAAATTTTTTAAAACATATTCGCAGCCAAAGTATGCAGGTCAGGGGCTAGAGAGGTTTCTTCGTGCTCTCTTCAGCGGCGTCTTCTCTTGGAAGCGACAGCCACTTGCTTCTCTTCTATTCTTGCTGGTGCTGGATTCTTTGGAATAAAAGGTTTTACCCATTTCTGAGGAATCCATCGGGGGCCTGAAGGGGTGGATACACACGCGTAACCTCGCCCCCAGGTGACAAGTTCATAGGGGCCTTTGGTTTGCCAAGTTTCAGGGTCCCTGATTAACACCGGTGGATGCTGTGACAATTTAAACTGATCACCACTGTTAAAATGCCGAGTTACAGGAGGATTCATGTTTTCAAATGAACAGTTTAGGAAATTAATAGTAAATAGAGCTTTACATAGTTTCTGTTGAGGAGACATCCACACTGCTTCGCTACCTTGCCTGGCTAGGACTTGTTTGAGTGTCTGGTGTGTACGCTCGATTACAGCTTGACCTGTGGGGGAGTGGGGGATGCCAGTTTTATGTTCCACTCCCCACTGCTGGACAAATTCCAGGAACTCCTTGGATTTATACGCTGGGCCATTATCTGTTTTAATTTCTTTAGGGATTCCCAATACAGAAAAGGCCTGTACTAAGTGTTGTTTAGCATGCACAGACTTTTCTCCTGCATGAGCAGAGGCATACACCGCTCCTGAGTATGTATCAATACTCACATGTACATACTTAAGGCGACCAAAACTGGGAATGTGAGTGATATCTGTTTGCCACACCTCACAGGTGGGCAATCCTCTGGGATTAACCCCGATGCCTAATGATGGCACTGCCTGGAGCTGACAATTGGGACAGGTAGCCACGATGGCTTTGGCCTGATTCCGTGTCAGCTGGAACTGACGAATCAGTCCTGGCACATTTTGATGATATTGCTGGTGACTTATTTTTGCCTGCTGAAACACATCAGGGAGACATACCTTTTCGGCTGGGGCAGCAAGGGAATCAGCCTTCCGGTTCCCCTCAGCGATTTCACCTGGCAATGGGGTGTGCGATCTTATATGCATCACATAGAAAGGTTGTTCTCTATTCGAGACCAAGTAAATCAGTTTTGAAAGCAATCTAAACAGATGCTCATTCTCAATGTCCTTGAGAACTGCCTGTTCCGCTCTGGACACCACTCCTGCTACGTAGGCTGAGTCAGTAACTAAATTAATTGGTTCTGAAAATTTTTCAAAGGCTCTCACGACCACAGCTAGTTCAGCTATCTGGGGTGACCCCTCTACAAACTCAACATCAGCTTCCCAAAGCTGAGTCTGTGGATTTCTCCAAGTCATCACCGACTTGTTGGATGTCCCAGATGCATCAGTGAACACTGTGAGAGCTTTGAGTGGCCTCCAGCTCCTTTTCTCACGAGGAATGAGATGGAATTCCTCATGAGACAATTTGTGTGATGGTGCATGAACAGATATTTGCCCACTATAGCTGTCCAGAGCTAACTGGAGGTTAGCACTGCTCTGCAGCAGATGCTCAAACATCTCTTTGGTCAGTCTCTCAGGGGAGTTTTTCCCTTCTCCAGAGAGCCTGACTGGGAGGTGAATACACATAAAGTCACAACCTGCCAGTTCCCGCAGCCTTACCCTGGCCTTTTGAATCAGCTGAGCCATCAGCTCTTGTGGCTTGGTGATAGTTTTGAGTCTTTGATGGGAGAGGAAAACCCATTCTATTATTAAGAGTGGGTCTCTCTGCCCTTCAGCCCATTGGAATATTAACCCATGTAGGTGTGGCAATTTTCCCAGGACAATAAATTTGAAAGGCAGCTCAGGTTTGAAGTGGTGTGCCTGTCTTTCTGTCAAGGCCCTTTGTGCCTTTTCAATTACTGTTTTTGCTTCTGAAGTTAGCTCCCTGGGAGACAGTAATTCTCTCTCCCCTTTCAATAAATTGAGTAGGGGGCCCAGGTCCTCACTGGTGAGACCTAGCCAGGGTCTGACCCAGTTTAGTGACCCACATAGAGAATGAAGATCTGCTAGAGTTTTAGGATTACCAATAATTTCCAATTTTTGTGGAACAACAGTCCGTGCTGTAATTTCCAGGCCCAGCTATTTCCAAGGTGGCATCCTTTGAACTTTGTCTTCCTGCAATTGGAATCCAGCAGAGGTTAAAACTTTAACCACTAGGTCAAGGGTATCTTTCAGTATGTTGTTATTGGGACAGCATATTAAAATATCGTCCATATAATGCAAAATGATAGCCTCTCTCTTTTCAGCACGCACTGAGGACAGCAATGACCTCACATACCACTGGCAGATGAAGGGGCTGGCTTTCATCCCCTGAGGTAATACTGTCCAGTGGTACCATTTCATTGGGGCTTCCCTGTTAATGGTAGGAATGGAAAAGGCAAACCTTGGTGCATCCTCTGGATGCAGGGGAATTTGATAAAAGCAATCTTCAATATCCAGTACTGCTAGTAACCAATCTTGTGGTAGCATGGTTGGGGAGGGTATTCCTGGTTGGAGAGATCCCATGTCTTGTATTTTTTTGTTTATTTCTCTTAAATCTTGAAGGAGACGCCATTTATCTTTCCCGGGAAATTCCAAGGGCTGGTTGTTTCTACTATGTGTCCCTTAGAAAATTCTTCTTCCACTAATTTTTGTAGTGCCCCAAGTTTTTGTTTGCTGAGAGGCCACTGGTTCACCCAAACTGGATCATTATCTAGCCAAGATAATTTTTGGACAGGACGCTCTACAGTGGCCTCTATCAAAAATCCTGAGGTGTCTCAGTGTCGTTCTGATTGGGAACGGCTACAAAGAACGACATAAACTCTCAAGGGAGTTTCAACACGAGAATTCCCTAGTTTATTCCTTCAGCCTTGTCTTATAGACAGATACATGGAAAGTACAGAAAGGAAACTCTTATTGGTTAACAAAGTGCTACATTACCATCATTGGTCAGGGGCACACTACCCCCCCTGACCCTCTCCTGCAAGAGAAAACAAGAGGACAGACAAACAGCACCTGGCAGTTGTTTTCTGTCTCTGAGGATTGTTTTGAAATCCTCCTTTGAATTTCTCAGGCTAGCTTCTCTGGCAGGACTGAGAGGCCATGGGCCTGCAGTTTCTGCAGCTCCCTGCAGCCTGTTCCAAAACTAGCATCCATATCTCAGGAATAGTTAGTTTTACTCCCCACTGAGACATGGTATCTCTCCCCCACAGGGGGCACTTGTAGTCAATTACAAAAGGTCGGACACTAGCTATCCTACCGTCCGGACCTTCGATCTGGACGATATCTCTAGCAATTTTTGCCAGTTTCATCCCTCCAACACCTTGTATTTTTCCTGCCACTGGTTGTAGTTCCCAGTGTGATGGCCACACCTTTTCCGGTATGATGGTCACATCTGCCCCAGTGTCAATTAACCCTTCTACATGGAGATGTTCTGATTTATGTGTTAAATTGCATCCCATAATTGGCTTGTTTTCACCCACTACTTCTGCCCAGTAAACTCCCGGTGCTTTGTCATCTACTGGGACTTCTGTTGGAACAGGGATTACCTGGGCTATTACCTGCCCTTTGTCTATATAGAAAGGTGGTTGGGGACACCTAGCTAAGAGAGTGAGGTGTGTTAGGTCTCCCGTGATTGTCATGGGAGCCACCTCAATCTCTATTGGTGTGTGTGCTGTGTCTCCAATAACAAAATACCTACTATCCAGTCCAGCCAGGTCTTGTGAATTATCCTGCAAATCTACTCCCACGACAGTCCAGCGGTCAGATCTGAAACAAAAAGCTTTAGAAGTTACAAGTCTGAATCGCTTTTGCGGTTGCCAGACCTTATTAGGCAGACGTTTTTCACAATTATATTTTTGCAGTTTTTCACCCCCCTTCCCCCTTTTTATTAAAGGACAGAGATTTGTTTCCACTTCATTTATGTCTGCACACTGAGTGGATAAGCGCTGTGATGTAAGTTTTTTTTGGCAAGCTGGTATCTGTGTGTTTCTGTTGTTTTAAAGGACAGTTTTTAGCAAAGTGTCCCGGTTTTCTGCAATAAAAACAAATTTGCTGTTGCTGGTCAGGCGTCATCTGTTCATTCCTTGTCTCAGATGAAACTGCAGCAACAGGTCTTGGGGTGGTCCAGGGAGGTCTCTTTTCCTGCGAAAACATCTCTGCTTTCCTTGCACAGGCTGCTGACATCTGTGCAAGGGTCGGAGGGGGATCCACAGGCAAACCTAAAATGACTCTACGGCAAGATTCATTAGCATTTCTCTGAGCAAGTTCTTTGACTAACTCTGTCTGTACCACAGGGTCTTCTACCTGACGGGAGACTTGTTCTCTTAATCGGTCTAAGAATTGCAGGAATCCTTCTGAGGGCATTTGTTTTACATTAATATAACTGCCCTTAGTGTCAGCTGTAGGTAGCTGTGTGAAAGCCTTTTCTGCAGCTGTAGTGATTTTATCTATCACAGCTTTTGGCAATGCCCTAGTTTGGTCCTCAGGTTTTTCCCATACTCCTTCACCGCATAAATGCTCTAAAGAAATAGGATTATTTAATAAATCTACATATTGGGGATTAGTTTTTAATAATTCCACCAGTATGTTTTTTAGAAACCGCTTCCATGTGTTTTCCCATAATTCAAATTCAGATGGTGTAAGCAAACACTTAAAAAGATCTTTAATATCTGTAGGAACTAAGTCATTTGAAGTTAATGTTGTTTTAACAATGCTTTTAAATATTTCACTATTACGGCCAAATTCTCTTTGTACCTTGCAAATTTCTTTTTTGTCTTGGTATGAAAACGGTTTGTAAGTACGGTTTTGAGGTCTTGCTCCAATAAAGGTCACCGGAGCAGCAGTAGGGAAAAAGGCTGAGTTAAAACCATTTTGTTTTCCATTCCCAGGAGTTGTATTGACCTGGGAGGGGGGAGAGGCTTGTCCTGCTTGGACATCAGGGAAGCCTGTATTCCCCCATCCCCCAGGGGCACCATGTGGCTCCACACTGGGAGCAGGCTGTGAGGTTCCACCCCTCCATCCCCCGGGGCGTCCCCCGGGGCCATCAGGGCAATTTGCAGCAGCACAACCACACCCGCCTTTGGAATGTGGTGAGGCAACCTCACCTCCCTGCTCGGTCTCGGCCCCGCCCCCCGGACCATGGGAACTGGGCGGGGCTCCGCCCCTCACCCCCCACTCGGCCCAGCCCCCAGCCTCGCCCCTGGCTTCCGCCCCATCT